GGGGGGGGGGGGGGGGGGGGGGGGGGGGGGGGGGTGTAGGGTCCGAATCCATCTTTTGTGGTGGTCATGGTCCTCATACCGGGGGAATATAAACTGTCCTTGCTTAATGGTGATGTCGCATATCCCGTGCCAAAATAAGACTAGACCTTCAGACCCGAGACTACCCTGTTGGAGACTGCTGTTAATGAAATCCACTCCTTCAGATCCCCGTCCTCCGCTTTTAAATAACCATTTAATACTATCATGGTCGACTCTATTGGTGCGGGAATTCTCCTTGAGATAGCGCCTTTACTGTCAGAGACGAGCAATGACTTTCTAGCAGGGCTAAATATAGTCTCCCCTTTCTTAGTAAGGTATTTCTCGAGTCAACGAGCTTCCTGAGAATTCATTTGGAAGTGTAGAGCTGAAAGTAAAAGTATAAATATAATCCGCCATTGTTGACGGACGGCAGGAAGCTCAAATACTGGGATGAGCAATCACTCAGTATTACGAAATCGTGGGCCTAGATTCACACAGAAACGGATCACAAAGTTTACCTATATCGCCCTACATGTTTGAAACTTCTTTAAAGGATATAACGTTATTTCATTAGTCTGGAATCGACGATAATATAGTTGATTCCTTTTCTGTTTTGATGTGTGCATCCATTCGTATTGCGCGCTCAACCTGAAATTCAGTAGGCGTTTACCCTCCCGTGTTCCTATTCCCGGCGAAGTTGAACTGTTCCGGTCGTTTCAACCAATCAGAATGAAGCAATTTTTGAAGCCCGCGACTTTCAAACCACAGATATTTTTATTACTTAACCTGATTCGTCAAAAACGTCGAAAACTTTATTTTTTAAACCCGTTTTAATGAAGAAACATTTCAAACCATAACGAATACGTTTGCAAAGTTCACGCAAATAAGTGACGATGTGAAACATATTTTTCTATTCCCACAGAGATGTTTAAAACGGTGATTTTTTAGCTTCTGATCTATTAATAACCAATCAGAACGTCGCAAATTTTAAAGTCCGTTCTGCACGATGTATATAAAAAAGATCTATATATAGATTGTTGCTTGAACTATATATATACCACACATACAATACAAAAAGAGCTCGCTGCGCTGGCTATAAAGTGAAAATAATATGAAATAGGCACTGCCTGTAAGCACATAGTTCAGTAACCTTTGTGACGATAGTGTATCGGCGCCCCAGCTAAGCATTTTAGGGTAACAAAACGAACAAAATCCCTCCTTAGGACATAAGTGAGCTGAATATTCTTCCATGAAAAAAAAATGAATGGTAGTTTAAAAAAATGTGTTTT